ATCTCTAAATAGTTCCAATCTCAGAATGATAGCCCTAGGTTTTTGTTTTTTTCTTGTTCTATAAAAAAATAAATAAATAAAACAAAATAAATAAATAAAACAAAAAAACCCCAAACACCAAGATATATGTTTTTAAAATCTGAAGATAAAAGTGCCTGGGAGGCTTACTTCATTCTTTTAGCTCCAGTCCACTTATGTGCATATTAATACATTCTTCCCTAACTGGGGGGGGGGCGAGAAAGAAAGGGAGGGGGAGAGATTTGTTTATGCACATGTGGTCATGCTTGTGTGACTTCATCAGTCCCACTATGGACCGGTCCTTCCTGAATTCGGTCCCTCTGAACTTCCTTCTGCAGACACAGCCGCCTGATTCCCCGAGCCGCGTCAGACGCGGGCCTGCCCGCAGGCGCCTCCGCCTCGGGCCCCGCGAGGCGCGGGATCCTCCAGTCTGTGCGCCCGGCTTGGCCCCGCGTTGCGCAGATGGCTGTGAACCGCCGCGAACGCCGAGCCCGGGCGCCTTGGGGGAGACTTTTCACCTAGAGTTTCCCCTGGTCCCCTTCTCTTTGTCCTTTCTGGTTCTGTTCCCAAGTCTGCGGGTCGGGGAGGGGGGGCTGAAAAATGGGTCACGGAGATGAATAGGGTGGGCTCGGGTGCAGCCGGCTCGGGGAGCTGGCGGGTGCCGGGCGGGCTCCCCTCTTTCCGCCGGCATCTGGCTGGCGCCCCGCAGCTCGGCACCGCAGGTACTTTGCGGGGGGCGCAGGGAGACTTGGAGGTTAAGAAAAACTTGGAACCGAAGTCCCACTCGGATCGGAGCTCTCCTGCGGGGACGCGGGAGCGGGGTAGGGGCCGGGGCGTGGGGCGCGCGGCATCGGGGCGCCCGTGGTCCCCCCACCCCGGGTGCCGGGCAGGGTACTGGGCATCTCCCAGGTCGCGCGCCCCGCGCGGCGCGTCCTGGCCCGGGGCGCAAGGGCCTCGGCTGCGCTGGGGAACGGGCTGGTGGCGTGGGGCTGGCGCTGGGCCCCGGGGGCGCTCGGATCCACACACTTGGCTGGGGGAGCAGGCCACGAGGGGCAGGGGTATAGTGGAGGTCGGCGGGGACCGGAGTGCCGGGGAGGAGCATGCGTGGGAACCACGCAGCTGTCTCCTCCACCTCCCTGGCTCCCCTGGCCTTTGCACTTGCAGGGGTCAGGGGGTCAGGCCCCAGTGTGGACCACTGCCCCGCGGCCTGAGGGCCGTGCTCTCCCCACCCCCAGGCTCCCTCGTGGGCCCAAGGGCCCAGGCATGCGAGGAAATTACGAATTACGAAGAGGGGCACTGGTCGAACAGGGCCCAAATCCTGGGGCTGAGGATCTCAAGGCTGAAGAGAACTCAGGGCCTGTCCGTCAGCCACTCTACAAACAGGTCCCGGCTGGCCAGGACCCTAGGTGACCTGAGCTGACCCCTGAAGATTGCAGGGTCAGAGGTCAGGGTTGGCCTTTGTTAATAATGTGTCTTCCCCGGAGCCTGCGCTTCCTCTCCCCGGTCCTCTAGGCCCAGGTTGAGGCTGTCTTTTGTGGTGCGCCCCCTTTAACTTCTGCCCAAACCATCACAGGTCAGAAACCCCCTTCTGCCTCGCTCCAGAAGCGGCCCTGGCCACATAGAACCTGCCTCTGAATCCCGAGATTCGCAGGTCAGGATTCTTGTTGAAATTCTAGAAGGATATGGGTTTCTACTCCTTCCTGCCTTGCTTAGTTCCGTTTCATGGCCTTTCGTGGTCCTGGACCCAAATAATCAACCACAAGGAAAAACAAACCAACCAACCCCTTCTGGAGGCTTGGAACCAGGCAGGACTGGGAATCAGAATATGGAGAAAAGAGAAATTCAGAAGCAAAATCTTCAGTTTATAGCTGTTATTCAGGCCTGGGCTGGGGGTGAGGGCTGGAGAGAAGTGTGTGAATGTGTGTGTGTGTGTGCACGTGTGTGTGTATGCACACGCGTGCGCTGAGAAACAGGCAAACCCTGAAAACTATTTCCTCTTCTCCTTCTCTTTCTTCCAAACCATGACAGGCCTCCCTCATCCTCCTTTTCTGGATTAATGTCCCTTTGTAATCATAACTAAGGATCCCAGATGAGTCTGTGCAGAAGGGAGGGACGCGATTTTGCAATCCCAAGTCCTAATTATAGGGGGAAATTGTTATCTAACAGAAAGAAAGGAAAAGAAACTGCACTGTGTGGAATCCACAGAGGCTATTCCAATCAGAGCATCTCTGTGGAAAATGGTGCTGTGGGAGTTTCTTAAAAACTGCCCAACTCTACTGCAAATTCACATCAAGATGACTTCTCTGAGCCTTGGGTGTGCCCCTTCTATCAGCCTTGTTCTTTGGGGATGACTTACCGGACACACACACACAAAGCTTTCAATTTTAAACAATAGAAATGGTCATGTGCAATGATCAGATAAACATTGGCATCACACCTCAGCCTGAACCATACAATCACCCATCGGCATATTCATAAATGTCCTCCCCCTAAATTAAGGTGCTATCCATTTTTTTCAAAGCTTTCTATTTGGGTTGAGAACCCCAAAATAGTTCTCCAAAAGAACCTCCACATGTGCATATTTTTAGAGGCATGGACAGCCAAGAAACTTGTTTGCACCTGGCTATGTGAACATTGGCTCTGACTCAGGCCACTGACGAAGTGGAGTTAACTAGAGTTACTTATTCCTGGGACTCTTGCCTTCAAAGGCCTTCTCTCTCTGATTTTTCTGCTTCAGAAGGACCTGTGAAGGGTTTAGGGAACAGAAACGAAGAACTCTGCCATGCCTTGGTGAAGGCAAGTTTAATTTTTTTAAATCATTATTAGTGAGAGTGGTGCTTTTTTGTTCCTCTCTGAAAGGTAAAGATGCTCCCCATTTGTGTGTCAGACTGAATTTCTTTATGCCCCAACAATCAGGAGACAGCTTGGGAGACTGAAATTCTCTCACCCTGCCCCTTACCTAGGCTAGGACAGGGGGAGAAAAAAGCCAGACACAGCTGGGTCTGTTCAGGGGCAGGAAGGAGTACAACGATGCCAAGAGATAATACCCTTTTTCTGGGGTTTCATGTCTGGATTTTGAAGATTTATATGAAAAGTGAGAAAAACTATTATGGGATGGTGGGTTAAAGCTCTTCTACTTAAAAAGAAAAAAGAAAAAAAAACAAAGCAAACAAGTCCTGATTCAGATGGATACATCCTGGACCCCTAGGAAGTAAAACCAACACAAACAAACAAATAAAATTACTACAACTCTTTCAGCATTTTTCTTCTCTTCCCCATCCTGACAAGAAGGCATGGAGCTACCTCTCATTATTTAATCATCATTCTAGGCAATAACCCAGAAGGGTGAAAATCATAGCTACTCACTGCAGAGAAAACTTCCTTAAAAGTACCCATCCCCCCCCCCCCACACACACACCAAAACCAAAAAAACAAAAACCAAGACATTTCTTCCAGGAAAGTAACTACATTCTTTTTTAAAAAATTTTCAAAATCAAAGTGAATTGCAGTGCAAAGCCTTGTAAATCTGCAATACAATGTGGAAGCTGATTTCCTATCCCTTTTTCTGGAGGTTTAGGCAAGTGCTTGGGCCTCAGAGCTGAAGTGTGTGTTTTTCTGACACCCAAATCAGACCAGCTGGCTAAAGGTTGTTCCTGAAGTATTTTCATCTACCATTCAACCTCAGTTAGTCTGTAACTACCAGTAAGTAGATATGAGATTTTTAAATAGATTGATTGGTTCAGTACACTGCTAGGGTATTTAATCAAGCCAAGAGTATGGAAAATGGAAACACATTGGGATAACCAAAACAAAGCAAAGACAATAAATGCACATACTCGGGAACCTTGGAATGTGTGATAAGCAACTTTGGGTATTGACAGGTGGAAAGGCTTGGACTGTAGTGACCAAGACAGCTGTGGGTCCAGTGTTCATGTGGGGGTGTGTGTGGGGGGTACCATTTGCCCTCTGCTCATGCTTTTAGCTTTAAAGTTGGTGGTTTGGCAAGGGACACTTGCCAGAATTTGTGTTACCAAATAAAAGTGACTGGGGTAAAGGTATAAGATCAGTGCATGAGCACTGTGCATTCAGTAATAAACAGAGTATTTCCATCAGGCCACTGGTATGAAAAGAGAGCTCTGGTTACTGCCAATTGACATCTAAAGAGAGGAGTTATCTTCTAGGCAGAGTTAAGACCTCTCCCTAGCTGATGTCAATACATTAACGTGTCAGATACATTATATAATATATATATATATATATATATATATATATATATATATCTCACATTGTTTTGGTTAAAAAAAAAGCATGGAAAAAGCCCAGGGAATTAAGGCATTTTTTTTTGAGCCTCAGTGACTAGAGAGAAGAAGGTGTGTGTTTAGTTAACTTTGTATCTTGTGCCATACATTGTTTTTACTGACAATTCTATCTGGTAAGTGACATGTTTGACATTATAGAAACAGCACCAGCTAAAAAACTAGGTTGTCCCCCTCTGCTAACACTCACACTGCTGGCTTCTGTCAGGAGAAAGGACTCGATTTTTGCTGCTTCTGTCGTTAGTAAAATTCTCAGCCAAAAAGAAACACTGGAGCATGGAAATGTATTCTTCAGAATGTGCACATCTACATATACATGCTTTAAAAACGCTAGCTCTTACCTTTTAGGGAACTTTTATTTCCTTACCGTGTACATTGTATCTATCTACATATATATGTAATTTGTAAGTTATTTTTTAAAAGCAGTATTCCAGATTGAAAACTAACACCTGTTTGCTTATGTGCATAGTACACCCAAAAGCACACACACGCTTTTCTATGGATCCATACAGAACACGGCTCAGTTCATTACTAGTTAGTAGGGAGGTTACACAGTTAATATCCTCCTCTGACACAATAATTTTTTTTCTGTAAAACGTGAACTCAATGGAACTCAAGTTGTTTTCTCGGACTGTAAATAATAATAATAAATATAATAATAAATAGTAATGATTCATACTAATTTTTTAATGTACAGATCTCACATAAATTTCATTTGGGGAACACATCTGTAAGTAGGAATGGCCGGGACTTCGAAAATGTAGTGTTTCCAGGGGTACCTCCAGCTTGCCAGTGGGCTCAGTTCTGTAATTGGAATGAAAGGAATTTTAACACTACTTCCACAAATACTCCACACAGCCTAACTCGGGGATTGGGGGGGCCGAGATTAGATTTCCTTGTATGATTCTTTTTTCTTAAATTTTAGAGACGTATTTGGAATGATGGGGGCCTGCACAGTATTTAGTTCTTTGTGAAAAACAAGCATACAATTAAAAAAAAATCATGGGTGTTTGCCACAATCTCCCGAAGTCTTTAGTAATTAGTTCCAAAAAATTCATTTCACTACAAGTTAACTTTTTCTTAAAGCCAGTATAACCCAAGCTATATTTTTTTTAAATATTAAAAAAATAGGCTTCTCTGCTTTATTTTGTAATATTTGGGGGTTCAAACTGGCGTATTCTAATGAACAATCTTATGGATTTATTTCTAATCGTTTGTTATTGTGTCACTGTATTTTCTCCCCCCATTCAAGTTCCAGTCTTCAAGAATAACTGCAATAACCATATCTTCAATGTCACCCGGGGTTTGAGAATGTGTTTACTTAAAATCATGTGGGATGCTGAGCTTTCTGTAGAAAGGACAGGCCTATTCCTATGTCTTCACAGGGCAGGTACGTCTCTGTCTCTCTCTGTCTCTGTCTCTCTCAGTTGTGACCCGAGAATAAAAAAAAAAATCTCTGAAGCCTAGGAAAAGCTAACTCAAGCACGAAAGGGTAGGTTTGTTTTGTTTTGTTTTGCTTTTTGTTGTTGTCATTAAGTGGAACCAAGTGTGGTTTCAGAACCCCATCTAGACTGGCACAGAAAGGAAGGTGAAAATATAAAGGGTAAATGCTGTGTCTTCATGATCAGTGAAAGGGGACAGGAAGGCCAGTGAAAAACTGCCCAGAACTCATCAGTGCTGAGCACAACCTGTTTTCTTCAAAACAAGACCTTTCTTCGTGCAGTTACAATATTATCCTTTAAAAAATAAAAAAGAATCGAAGAGAAAATAAAACTATCATCATGTTTGGCTATGTTTTCAAGACAGTGCTGGCTTTGTCTAACATTCTATTTAGCCTCAGTATGGAAAGGACATGCATTTGTAACATTAGTTGCTATGAATTTGTGTCAATTTAAAGTAGGTCAGTGCTTAGGAGTTGTGGTGAAGGTAGCTGAAACCTTCCCCAAACTCATCTACAAGTTAGCGCCTACCCAAAGCCCCTTTTAGGGTCACAAACCAGTTAATCAAAGCACTGCTTTCAGTCCCCAAAAACCTTATTTTTATATTATATTTTGGAGACCAGTGTGACCTCACTCATGACCAGCTTGCCTTAAGTGGAGAGAGAGACAGAGAGAGAGAGACAGAGAGAGAGAGAGTGTTCACTAAGTATTGTCAGTGAAAGCCAGATATGAGAACTGGGAATTAAGAAAAAAAAAACACATAGGTTTTTTCTTTTTCCTACATAACACAAACACAGTTAAAAGGAAAAAAAATTTAAAAAGCAAAACAAAACAACTTTGATTTGTCCCAAAGTGTTTATGTACAGACTTGTCAGGCCTTGCTAACAAGAAAATCATGATGTGTAAAGGAAGAAAGAAAAATAATCAATTATAACCAAAAAGCAAAAATCGTTTATCTTTATCATTAAGTATATGTGTGGCCCAAGCCATCTTGGTGGGTCACATTTGTGGGTTCCTCTTTTTTCTACATGGGTTAGAGAACTTAGGGGTCATGATTCGAAAGTCCAGCTCAACTGTTTTATTTATTTTTTATTTAGTTTTTCATTTTTCACAAAAGTCCAATGATAGCCCAAGTCATCTGAAAACTGAAAAACTTTAGGGACAAAAAATAGTTGAGAGATCATAATTTACATCTCTATTAAATATTACTAATTACAATATGGGGCCAGACTCTTCAGAGCACAAAACAGCCTATAATTTCACCCTGAATTATTGCCTTCCTACTCTTCCATTAATCATTCCTCTGGAGAAAAAGAGAATTCCATGCAGTTGTTGGGCCCAGTTAAACTGTACGCTAAGAAATTGAGTACGGAATCAAAAAAATTCAGTTTATTATTGTAGATTATTCTTTTTTCTTGATATAACCAGAATTGAAAATGAAAGAAAAGCACATAGGAACGTCACGCATCGTTAGTTAGTAACTCAAGATATAAAACAATTTTGCACAGCAAAATATGAAAAAAAAGGAAAAATAACTGACAAGATTTTTTTATATTTATTGTGGTAAGATTTGCTTTTCATTTTTTTAAAGACAGGATGTCAGTCCCTGAAAATAACATTTACTGATTATTGCCTTTAAAACTGTGGATTTTTTTTAAGTTACAGAAAATCCAGTTTTGTACCACAATACAACTGTAAAAAAAATCTGCATCATCTTAAAACTGTGCAGTAATGCCATTTTTTATAACTGCATAAATTTTATTAGCGTTCTAAACAGTTTTGCGATTGTTTTGTATATTATATGCTTGCAGGTTATGTCTTAGTGCAATTCAGTCCCAAATATTTAAATTTTGAAAAAAAAACCATACATTTTTGAATGTAAAATACCCCTACAGATATAAACAGGGGTTTCTCCCCTTTTAATACTTTGGTTTTCAATACAGTCAGTGGTATAGCAAAGACTACACATACCCAACTTATATTAAAGTTGCAAGCACATGCTATATAAGCTACTTTTTTTAAACAGTTCCCCCTTTGCAAACTCTACCCCCCTTAACATCACAACAGTAAACAATTTAGTGCATCGATCTTTAAAAAAAAATCTACAGCTACACAGACCTAACTCTTTCAAATGTATCTATAACATTCCTTTATCTGTAGCATACATTTTAACTGGGCTAACAGATTAGAAAAAACTATAATTAAATTATATACTAGAAACCCATAGCATTCCACATTTGACAATGACCAAAAGCCAAAAAATATATATAATAATAATTAAAATAAACAAAAAAAGAATGGGGCAGATTTCTTTCTCTCTTTTTTTTTCTTGAAAAAATAAATTTTAGACTGCTTTCAGCAATAGCACAATTTAAATCCCCCTCACCGAAGTGGAGCATTATTCTTAATTAAAAAGGAAGCATTCCTAAGAGTTTGTGAAATTTGTAACCCATTCTGGTATCTCTGACAAGCAATTCCTTCAGTGCATTTACTCAGGGAGGCTGCAGGTTTGAGTAACTCAAAAAAAATTTTTTTGGAGCAGATGCAAACTTTCATAGGAAGAAGGCTCTAGGGTTGCATTTTCTTGTTGTTGTTTTGTTTTGTTTTTGTTCAGAACTCAAAAAAGTCATGAGGCAGTAAAATAAAAGTATGAGGACCATGCTCTAAGTCTTCCAATGTCCATTTCCAAGCCAAAAGGAAAGAAAAAAAGGAAAAAATAATTATACCATACATGTCCAGCATGCAGGCTTTTTTATTAATATAATGTCTCTTTTCCATAAAGTCTTTGAAACAGTTACAGTTCATTGTTGCTAAGACAAAGTAGCAAGCATAATAATATGTGAGATGACAGTGAGTTTTTTATGGCAGACTAAACTCTCAGATTTGGCCCCAGAGGGCCAGACTCCACCAATCACACCCGCAAGGCTGATGAAGGCTTGGTTGTGGCAGGTTCACAAGGATTTTCTTTTTCTCTCCTCTACTTTAGCATGACAATGCTAATTAAAAAAAATACCTCTTGGAACTCAGCCTGCTGCAAGTCTATAACTTTTCACATTTTTTTTTCTTTTGAGAGCTCAATCTCCCATGAAGACCTCAGGAGGAGAAAAAGAAAAAGAAAAAAAAAAACAAAACACAAAACCCCAAACTTGGCTTTTTCTTTCTTTTATCTTGGAGGAAGGTGGGTGGAGAGGAGGAGGAAGGTGAAAAGCTGGGTAACACAGCAAGCTCCAAAAAGTAAAATTAAAGGGGGGGGGGAATCCAAAGTAACACACACACACACACACACACACACGCAGGGGGGCATCCGCTCAGGAACTGAAAAAGAAGGGGGGGGGTGATGCAAATAACGCCGGTTTCAAAAGTGAGCCATGTTTCACATGAAGAATTCTGCTGAGATCTTTGACCACGGTTGCAAGTCCGGTGTGGGGAGGGGACGGGGGAGGCGGTGGTGTGTAAAAACACAAACAAAAACAACACACACAACAACAACAACAACAAAAAACACCCCGACGAGCTAGCCGGGGACGGGGATGGTTTCAGCTGGGCAATCCGGGGGAGCCGGACACCCCTTTTCCCTCCCCAACTTTCCACGGCCCCCGCCCCCGCCAGGAATCAGTCAGGGTGTGTGTGTGTGTGTGTGTGTGTGTGTGTGTGTGCGCACACGTGTGTGCGCGAGGGGGGGGGAGCGCGCGCGCCTGGGTGCGAGCGCGCGCGCGCAGAGGGGACCCCGGGGAGGGGGTGAGTGGTGAGTAGGGGGGGCGGGAGATCTCGGCAGAGGAGGGGGCGCGGGGTGGGGAGGGGGCCGGGCCCCCGCGGTGGCGAGCCGTGGTCGCGCGGGTGTCAAGAACTCACATGAAAAACTCGGGAGAGGACGGGTTGTCGCTGCTGGAGCCGTTTTCTCGGAAGCCGCTGCTCACCAGCTTCTCGTATTTCTCCTTGTACGCGTCCCTCTCCCGCACCAGCCTGGAGATCTCCTGCTTGAGGTGGTCGACCTGCTGCAGCAGCTGGTTCTTCTCCGACTCCAGGACGTGTCTCTGCTGCACCCTCTTGAAGCGGCAGGACTGCGCATAGCCGCGGTTTTTCAGGGTCCGCCTCTTCTGCTTCAGCCGGATCACCTCCTCCTTGCTGACCCCGCGCAGCTGCCGGTTCAGCTCGCGCACCGACATGGTCACCAGCTGCTCGTCGGAGAAGCGGTCGTCGAAGTGCAGGCCGCCGCCGGCGGCGTGGTGCGGG